TTGAAAATATCCGTGATTTAAGTCATATTACTACAGTATTTTTTCTCACATAAATTTAAATTTAATTTTTTTATTATAATTTTTTTTTTCACATACACAACTCAAGTCATAATTAAGTTATGCAAATGACACAAATTTTGGGAGCTCTATATCGTTATTGGATTATAGGTTGTGTTAGGTTTTGAGAGCTACTAATACCGATTGAAGTTATTGGTAACTACAATTTGGTGTAGATTAAAGTTTAAACAATAGAAACTAGCTACTTACATTTTGAGAAAAATGGTAGGGCAATCATAGTCCATGGATATGATTGTCCAATCTCTCTCTAATTTGTACGTGGGGTTCTACTTTATGAGTGTCCAAACAACAACTATATCCTTAATAGAATTACTATAGTAGGCTATTAAAAAAAATACTCCATTAGTAGAATACAATTTTGAATTATCATATATTTAATAAATCATGTTAAATTATTATGATTTTAATGTGATTTGACAGTTTATTATTATATTCTATAAATGGGGTATCATATCAAATTCTCCTTATTTATGTAGGAAAAAACGTATAAGTTCTTTTAATCAATAGTGAAGATGCCCCTAGACGAAGGATTAAAAATTGAGGAAGATACGTTAATATGAGTTCAAACTCGTGGCAACATTGTACAAGAAAAAAGGAGAAAACAAAAAAAAAGAAGGAAAAGAAACATTCTTGATACATGGTAAACTTCTACGAGATTACTATATTTTGTAGAATTTTGTAATATCAAGTATTTTTCCAATGCGCTTGATCTCTCGTGGAAAATATATCACACACATTTCCTTACATGAGACCATATATCGAAGTGGTAACCTAGTGGTACTGTGTTAATTATTCTCAAGTGGTTTGGTAGATGTGAGGTTTTAAATTTGAGCTTTATTGGAAGCGTTTGAGATTATCTTTAGACGCCGATTTAATACTTGTTAATTCTTATTGAGACTGAAGTGACACGTTTCGTCTCTCGATATAAGTAGTTATAGCTCAATACAGACATTTCTTAAAATATGTGAAGCCCCTTGGTCATGCTTAAAGGAGATAGCTACAATCAATCGTCCATTTCCACCTTTTTTTTTTCCTTTTCTTTTTTGGTGAAAAAAGAAAGCTTCTCACGCGAGGAGAGCTGATTAGGACACCACTTGGAAGGGTGTCTCATGGGTGGTCGCCCCATGAATGTTGGAAACAATATTAAGGTTTGGTGACAAAGAGACACAAACCCGGTACTTTAGTTATGTGGACGTGGTGGCTACAAATTGTAGCAAATTAGCAAATGGTAGTAGCTAGCTGCCATGGAGACACAATGGGTGTGCTCTTGCGCTAGCAATGCAAAAGGTTCAAGTGGCCGTCACATAGATGTAGCACCACCGTTGCCCCCACTCAACTCAACCACTTTAGGGCCACTCTCTATAGATGGAGTACACCGAAATTCTCACCCAATTCTATCGCCAATGGAAGAACGGTGGCACAATATTGCAGGCACAAATTGTCGATTATCCTATATATACATATACATACATACACACACACATATATACATATATATATATATATATATCAGGATGATCAATTTGTTTGTGGAAGTTACAAATTGTCGATTATCCTATATATACATATACATACATACACACACACATATATACATATATATATATATATATATCAGGATGATCAATTTGTTTGTGGAAGTTTAGGAGTCTCTAACATGAGATAATTTCCACACCAGTCTTGGTTATCATAGGATATAATTTTGTAATGTCACAATGTACTAATGTTACCACATGACAAAATCAATGTTAGCAATGCCAATGTTTTGTTGTGCAAGCAGCGATGATGCATCATTTCTAGCAACAAAATAGATCGCTTTGGTTATTACATGACCTTGGCTATAAATCTTGAGCAATATGATCTTGAATCCTAAAGTACAGCGTCAATGATCAAGAGACACCACCAAATAAAATGACAAATATGCCGTACGTTCGGACATATGTCTAATTCAAAATTAAATCCTCATATAAAACGTAAGAAAAAAGGAAAAAAAAAAAACTTTACTACCTAAACAAGCACAACATATACACAATTGATTGTGGAAAGACCAACCTTTGTCTCATTAGTGTCATACTAGGGCAATCAAAGTGCGCTGGGGCTTTAAAAGTGCAAAACGTGCTGGAAAAGTGCAAAGTAGGATTTGGCTGGTAAGAGCATCTCCAAGGAGACGTTTTAAATTTTAATTAAAATAGCTAAAAAGTTATTTTAATTGGCAATTTTTGGATGATTCACTCTAACCATACTCTCTATTTTAATTAAAATATAAATTATTTTAATATTTATTGAATTTAAAATATATAGAAATTTGTTGAACTTAATAAAAAAAAACCTTTACATTTATTGCGGTTGAAAGAATACAATAATATAAAAAATTAAATGGCTAGCTTCTTCATACTAGCTATATTGTGACAAACATTTATTAAAATGGCTAACCATTTAGTTAATGATTTGAGTGAAAAAAAAAAGTCAAAAAAATTAAAAAAAATGAAATCATTAGCTATTTTAACTAAAAATATGAAATGACTAATATGATTGGAGTTGCTCTAAGTTCCCAAATAAAAAGAAAAAAAATGCTATAAAGTATGAAAAAAAGTATACTTTACCATTAAGACTTTGTTTTGGACTAAATTAATGTGTATCAAAATCTATTAGTGTTGTGTAATTTCTTATCTCAGTGTGATTTTGATTAAATTTAAAGTAGAAAACATGCAATATATATTGCCTTAAATTTTGGGGAACATAAGGTTACGAGGCAGCCGATGGGCCATGTGCAAGCGACACGGGCCCGGCACGTACCTTAAGACACGCTTGTGTGCGCGCGCACCAAATATTTTGACTGACTAAGCCTGCAAAGAAGGAGCTGATAGAGTTATGCTTTGCCTTACCATGTGACGGCACTAATATCCACCCAAAACATTACTCTATAATAATGTACATAAATACCGGCCACATATAAAATGTAAAAAATAAAAGCCAACATAAACAAATGTACACCATTTTGGGAGGGTAATCAGTTGTGTATTTATTTATACTAAATTCAGATGAATATCCACCTATACGAAAAAATTTAATTGGCGTCGAACAAACACCCCATTAATCTTTTTGTCATATATGTCCCATTAGTTTGATAAGCATTAATATGGTTTTATTTGTATTTGTTTCATGAAGAAAAGGCAGAAAACTTAAGTAATGTTTTGGGGATTGGGTGTTTGGATTGAATGCATTCTTTTTGTAAACAGGTGTAGAAAATAAATAATGTTTATGATAACAATTTTATCGGACCAGGGAATGCTTCGTAGGGTAATAGGTACAATTATAACTTTTCCCACTAGTTGATAAATGTGGTAGGTAAAATCTTAGTTTTTGCATTAAGGTGAAACATGACAAGAAAGCGCTCCAAATTTTTATGTATGGTATAAACTATAAATTTTTTACCAATGTTGTCATTTAGCTCAAATAGAATTAACCCATCTAGTTTACCTTCAAAAGAAGAACTAACCGATCCAGTTAATTTCACTTGATATCGAGCAAAAATCCTCTAGTTAAAACAAAAAAAAAAAAAATCCTTTTTTTAGATCTTTTGATTTATTTATCTCTGTAAATTAATAACTACATATTTTGCTCTAAAAAATAAAAAGAATTAATTAAATACTTAGAATGCTATTTTAATATATATCGCTAACCATTTGCCTAGAACTTTCATTATTCCTATTTTTATTTTTTTTTTTTTTTAAATTATGAAGGTAAGAATAAGAAATTAATTGATGAATATAAAATTATCACTCCAATAAGTCTACATCATATGGAATTCTACCTGTGCCTATTTGAGTGAGAGGCGATCACGGCTCTCTTGTCTTTCTTTTTTTCCATCCATTTTGAAATTTTATTAATCTTCAGAATTTTAGGTTTTCAATCTATAATGGCTATAGGTTTCACCTATATAAATCTTTATTTAGTTGTGATTTTCTATTCAAATTTATTATTTTTGTATAAAATTTTAGAAATCTTCAGAATTTTAGGTTCCCAATCTATAATGACGACAGTTTTCATCTATATAAATCTGTATTCGGAAAAAAAAATAAAAATGAAAGCATGAAGACAACCTTCATATTCTTCTGTTGAATTAATGATAACCGTTTATGTATTATAATAAGTTATTTATTGCACATGTATTGTTATTTCTTTTTGTGGATAGAAAAAATTGATATTTCCACTATGACATTTATTATTTAATATGTTTTAAGGTAAACTTTTTTTTTTTTTTTTTGCTGAAGTAATGTAAACACTTCCTTTATTTAAAGAGGATTGTTTTTTGTAATTATATATATAGGAAGAAGTTTTAGAAGGAAACTCGTATGTGAGGCATACAAAGAAACTTCCATTTGATTCAGTCAAATTTAATTATAAATGTCATGTTTCCTTTCTACCCCCATAAATTTCCTTTGTGTAAATGGGAAACTGATTTTTTTTTCTTTTTTTATATTAAATTCAAAAGGAAGTTTGAGAAGAGGAAACTATACAGTGTGGACAATAATCCCCTTTTTTTTTTTTTTTTTTTTTTTTGAGAATGACAAAAATTGATTGTCCTTTATACACTGGCCCACTCCGATAACATTGGACCAATGTGAAACAAAGTATTTCAACCCTACCGGCGCAAATTAGTCCACACCCATTTCATTACCCACACTTTTCGGCTGCTTACTAAAATACGCCGGGGTAGTTTTGGCGTCAGTCAATTTGCCCTCTTTTGGTAATTTCATTTTCTTCCCTCTTACTATTATTTTTTCAAAAAATTCCCGTTTAAATAGAAGCTGAAATTCGAAAAGCCAAAAAAAAAAAAAAACAGAGCACGTTATATATATATATAGAGAGAGAGAGAGAGAGAGAGAGGTGGGCTGTGGGTGTTTAGGGTACTTTCGAAACTTGCAGGTTTTGGAGTATCGTGTCGGGGGGACTGATCTGAATCTGATATATAGGAGGATCTTTTTTTTAATTAATTAATTATCTTTTTTGGGGTCCATATTTATATATATCTAATAAATGTTCTCTCTCTAGAGAATTACATAATCTTATATTTGTTTCCTTTTTTTTCTGAGAATTTATATTTGTTTCCTTAGAGAGAGAGAAATATCAAGAACGGGAAGGGCAATACTGTAAGAAAATCTCAAGTATTAATATATACATGCATGTATGTGTATATGTCATATATAAATATAACTAAATTTAAGCTTGAGCAGCCACTTTGATTTGTTTGAGTGAATCAAGAAAATTTTTAAGTACACCAGATTCTTGTGAATCTTCACGGCACTTGTTAATGGGTAGGTTTTTTTTTCTTTTTTTCTTTTTCCCTTTCTTCCTCTTCTTCTTCCTCGTGCTCTGTTCTTCGATTTCTGTTTCTGGGTTCTTCGAGTTTTCGTGATTTTCAGTGTACTTTCTCTCTCATCTTTTGTGGAATTAAGATTTGGGTCTTTGGGAGATTCGTGATCTTCTTCTGGCTTTTTTGTTTTTTTGTCCTCGAATTTTTCGACTTCCAAGTGTTCGCCAAAATGCTTTTCGTGCCTCAAAAAGTCTGTTTTCTTCCGTTTTGTTGTTCTATTTCCTTTGTTTGATTTCTGGATATTTTCGCATCAACTACCAATTCCAACTTTCATGGACGTAAACAGTTTTTTCGGTTACCGCTCTCTCTCTCTCTCTCTGATTTGTGCAATAAAGATGGAGTTTTACGTCTCCTTTTTATTCTTTTAGTGATTACCAGTATCTTTTTGCTGATTGGTTATGATGGTTCTGTATAAATGTCCTTTCTTCTCTTATTGGCCGTTTCTTATTCTTTTATTTTTCAATTTTTTTTTTCTAAGGTTTGTTTTTCTTTTTTCCTTTTCTCTTTCAGAGGTCAACATGAGCTTCTCGCAGGACATGGATGATGAATATGAGAAACTCATCCGAAGAATGAACCCACCCAGGTATAAAATAAGTCTCATCTTTTTCAATACAGACCTTGAATTTTTATGATTTTCATTCACACCGTTCTTGAGATTTTAAACGTCTTTTGTCTTCCTTCTTCTCAGGGTTGTAATTGATAATGATTCCTGTAAGAATGCTACAGTCATAAGGGTATGAACCTTTTTGCGTTCATTTTTCTATTCTTGATTTATAGTTTTTTTTTTTTTTTTTTTGAAGTTTGGAAAATAATTTGGTACTTTGTTATTTTCTGTGATGTAGGTTGATAGTGCGAATGAACATGGAATACTTCTGGAGGTTGTTCAAGTACTTACTGATCTTAATCTTATCATAACCAAGGCTTATATATCTTCTGATGGATGTTGGTTCATGGACGGTAAGAATAAGATTCTTTATATATTCTCTTTTTCTGGATATGTTCCACCTTTGAGATTGAAATATTGATTTGTGATTTGTTTCGGAATCAGTTTTTAATGTCACTGACCAAGATGGAAACAAGGTCACAGATGAAGGGGTTTTGGATTACATACAAAAGGTGTGTTTGATTTTTATTTTTCTGCAGTTTTTGCTCTACCTTAACGTCCCTATTATGGTAAAGTGCTTATATTGGTTTATACTTAAATTTTGCTTTAGTCGCTTGGTCCAGAATCTTGCTTCATGTCTTCGATGAGATCCGTTGGTGTTACACCATCGATGGACCACACTGCAATTGAGCTCACTGGGAGTGATAGGCCAGGACTGCTTTCTGAAGTATGTGCTGTGCTCACCCATCTCAAATGCAATGTGGTGAGTGCTGAGGTCTGGACACACAACACACGGGCAGCCTCCATTATGCACGTCACCGATGAGGAGACAGGTTCGGCAATTAGTGACCCCGAGAGGCTGTCCAGGATTAAGGAATTGCTATGCAATGTGCTCAAGGGAAGTAACAAATCCAGGGGAGCTAAAACCGTGGTCTCTCATGAAGTCACACACACTGAGAGAAGGCTTCACCAGATGATGTTTGCTGATAGGGACTACGAAAGGTTGGATGATGATGCCTTGGATGAAAGGCAAAGACCAAATGTTAGTGTTGTTAATTGGTACGACAAGGACTACTCAGTGGTTACTATTCGTAGCAAAGACAGACCGAAGCTTCTCTTTGATACGGTTTGCACTTTGACAGACATGAAGTATGTGGTTTTCCATGCGAATATTGATGCTGAGGGGCCAGAAGCTTATCAGGTATGTATCATTTCTGTCTTTTAGTACATTGACATGCTTGTATTTTTTGTGGTACTGACGTGCGTTAAATAGGGTCTACTTTGTAACAGTTTTTTGACTGATTATTTTATTCCTGTGTTTGTAGGAATATTACATCAGGCACGTAGATGGATCCCCTGTGAAATCAGAGGCAGAGAGGCAAAGAGTCATTCAGTGCCTTGAAGCAGCCATTGAGAGAAGAGTATCAGAGGTAAAAGCTTGTGATATATTCTAAAAATTTAAAGTTTGGAAACCTGTTCTTGAAAACTTTGCACTTGAACATATATATTGTTATTTGTCCGGCTAAAGGATTTAAGTCCGCAATACCTTCCGAGTTATGTAAAAGATCTATTGTACAGCTAATTGGACCAGTTTCTTTATGCACTGCAATAGTACGTTAACAGTAATCTTAGTGTTAGGCTACAAAAGCTTTCATCATATATTAAAACCGTGTTTTTAGACCCTTTTGAGGTATGTTCTAGTTACGTTCTGTTTTGATGTTACCTTCATTAGAAGCATGCTAGGGTGGTCCAGCTCACATAAAGGGTTCTTCCTGTTCGAAAACATCTCATGTAGAACAGCTGAAAAAGAAAAGTTCCAATGACAGTTGTTACTTTCTTTACTTTTTGTTCTGGAAAGGTTCCATTGATTCGTTATCTTATTATTCTGTTTGTTTCTTGTTCAGGGTTTGAAGTTAGAACTCTGTACGACCGACAGAGTCGGACTGCTGTCTGACGTCACTCGCATCTTTCGTGAAAATAGCCTCACTGTAACCCGAGCGGAGGTGACAACTAAAGGAGGGAAAGCCATGAACACGTTTTACGTTAGCGATGCGTCGGGGTATCCAGTTGATTCCAAGACAATAGATTCTATCAGGCAAGCAATTGGCCAGACCATACTTAAAGTGAAAGGCAGCCCTGAAGAGTTAAAGTCCGGTTCTCAAGAATCTCCCACCAGGTTCCTCTTTGGTGGCCTTTTCAAGTCGAGATCTTTCGTCAATTTCGGATTGGTTAGGTCCTATTCTTGAAGAAAAAACTGATCATAGCTAGCTCCCATTGTATATAGCACAACTTCTTCTTAGCTCTTGCATACCATTACTCGATCAGAAAATCTAGACCATTTTAGTGGATTTAACACTCTAGGAACACGGCCTTTGCTTGCTTAGCAAGGGAAACATAGGTTTTAAAATATGCTTAAAAATTCTCCCTTATTTTCTCCTGCTTGAAGCCCTTTATTTGTTAATGACTCCAACGTGACGCTGGAGTCATTTAAGCAAAGAAGGAAAAGAAGAAAAAGAAGAAGAAGAAGAAATTGAGGTGTATAGTGATCTTGAAACAATCAATGTCAACCTTTTGTACATAAATTTTCTTTTTCTCATCCATCCAGCGTTAATGTTTTATATGTGTATATGTATATAATATATATTATATTTTAGTGGTTCTATGGTAGGGTCTCTTACCGACAGTACACACGTTTTTAACGGTTGGCTCTAGTTAAAATCATATCAAAAAAATAAAAAAAATATACAATTTTTGATACGAATCTAATAGCTGAAAACATAGACTTATTAGTAGTTTGCTTTTTCAAGTCCTACCACAAGAATCTCATTTTTTTTCATTTTCTATTGTGAATGTCTCCGGTTCACATAGCACGGCACTGCTTTCTTTGGGTTATAGTAGCGAGGGCAGGTATTTGTGTTTGACCAAAGTGATAGTGTTTGAACTAAAGGTTCTTAACGAAGAAAATGGTCAAATCAGATATGTACGCTAAGATGCAAGCAATGATCCTATTATTGAGTGTGAAAGTTGGCGTTTAAATTAATTCTTTCTAGGTTGGTGAAGCTACCAACAATGACTAACCCATCCTCTCATGTTGACTGGCATAATTGGTGGCGGCTTCTGGTCTAATCTTTAGTATTTAACACTGAGCAATACTATTACACCTTGGCTTTTTTCACAACTATCATGCACCAACTGATGCAATCATTGTCCAAAGGTTAGTGGCTAAAAAATTGTTACGCCACTTGGGAGATGCAAGTTCATTTTATAAAGAAATTTGTGGGTTTTTTTTTTTTTTTTTATGGTCCTATAACGTATGATTTAAAAGTTGAGACGAAACAATGCATTTATTAAAAAGTTATATAGATATAGACTTGACAAAATAATTGTTACACAATACATACTTGGTACATTTCAATCTTTACATATTACATATGTGTGGACGTTTAGTGTTTTGTTATATTTATACCTTAACTTTTACATATTAGATGTGTCCTTTCGAATGACTTAAGAACATGCTTAAAAAATCTGTATCTATAAAATTAATGCCCGTCTTTAGTATGATCTTATCAATATTTGGATGGCCAACTTGTGACATGACATTGCTCTTGGATGGAGACAGGCACTTAGAGATATTAGTTTATGGTTTCCTTTGGTTTCTGAATCCATCTGGTCTTGTTGAACGCGGTGCCTAGTCTATAAATTACTTTTGTGCTCACTTTAGGAACAATTTTTGATCAGGGATTGAATTACGAATTCGTCTTTCAAACTGTGAAATTGTAGACTACATGCAAAAGAATCTAGATGTGTTGGAATTGTAAAAGCTTTTTCCTGCTTTTTTGAACTTTTTGATTGGCCTCTAGCTAATTCACCTGTTATTTTCTCTGGTTTTACCGTTTGAATTGAAATGGTCCATAGAGACTCTTGTTAATCCAACGAAAAAGCAATTTGAACATTCCTCTACTTTTGACCAGACGCTGAAAGGTGGATGAGAGAGTTGAAGAAAGCTCTACAAAGCACAAGAAAGGCCAAAAATCACCAATTTTCTCCGATATAATGGATGGACAGATAAAAGTTGGGAGAAAATGGATCTTCTTTTTTGAATTTTGAAGCTCATCAAAATGATTTCATACATCCACGTCACCACCTGTATTATTGGCACTATCATTATTGCTTGGTGTGAAATTAGTCATCTGGGGTGCCACCACTTGGCTTCCCTTTGCTCTGTCCACGTGGCGCCACTTCAATTGGAAATCAATATTTGGCCAAGTAAATCCTTAAAGTAGCCGGATAATTGGAAAACTATAAGTCCTCGTTCACTTCACAGATTTAAATTTTTTATTTGAGTCGAGATGTGACATTTTTTTATAGCTTTTCACTATAGAATTTGGCCAAGTAAATCCTTAAAGTAGCCGGATAATTGGAAAACTATAAGGCCTCGTTCACTTCACAGATTTGAGTTTTTTATTTGAGTCGAGATGTGACATTTTTTTATAGCTTTTTACTGTAGAAGAAAAAGTTAGATGTGACATTTTCTAAGAATTTTTTACTGTAAAAACTTGAAACTGAAAACTCAAATCAGTGAAATGAACGATGCCTAAACAATTAAGGAGTGGTTTGTCTATCGTCATCTTCTTTCATCTTTAGATTATTATTACTGCTGCGCTTAAATCTTAAGGTCATTTTCAGTTACATTTTAAATTTTAAAAATTCTCATATTATTTTATAAATTTTAAATTATTTTTATTTAGGTTCGTTCAGTTCGTTGATTCGAGTTTTTAATTTGAGTTGAGATGTGACTTTATGTGAGAACTTTTTACTGTAGCAAAAAAGTTAAAGTAATTGTTTCTGAGAGCTTTTTACTGTAGCAAAACTCGAATTCTAAACTCGAATCGGCAAAATGAATGGGGCCTTAATTCTTTATGTTATAATTTCTGTTAAAAATAGATAGAAAAAATAGAATAATACAGTCATGTAATCTTTCTGTTTAGATTTATATTAAAAAAACATATAAAAATCACATTACTACACTTAATTCCCTCTTTTTTTGTTTGATTTTAACATAAATTACAACAAAGGGATTAAGTGCGAATAATTTAAAATTTAAAAGGTAAAGTGAGAGTTTTTAAAATTTAGAAAGCAAATTAAGAATTACCTCAAAATTCAGAGGCGTCAGTGAGAATAACACTAATCTTTAACATGCACGGAATTTCTAATTTCAAGGCACAACTTTTGGTCATTTTTATATCTCATATATATATATATATATATATATAAAAGAACCAAAACTCTTTTTTATGGTGACAGTCCATCCACTTAGTTCTTTTTTTCTTTTTTTTTAATTTTTTTAATTTTTTTTTGCATTCTAATTTTTTGTGTGTTTTTTAAAATATATTGTTCTTCACTTTACTTACATGAGAGTACTTTTGTTTTTATTTTATTTTTAGTTGATTAAAATAATTTTTTTTTCAAATGTGTTCTTATTTAATTTTTTTCGTCAATTATTATCTGTACACATATTCATTTTTAAAACAATTTCAAAAATCTCTGAATGGTTTTATAAATGAATTTTTCATTATTCAGTAAATAACAAACTTTTTAAGCATCTTTAATACAACAATACGTGCGGAGCACGTTATAAAACTAGTGTCCTTCAAAAAAACTAAAAATTTTGGTATTGAGGTGACCCTTGTGTTCTTTTAGGTCCCGTTCACTTCACCGATTCGAGTTTAGAATTTGAGTTTTGTTACAGTAAAAAGTTCTTAGAAACAGTCACATCTAACTTTTTTGCTATAGTAAAAAGCTCTCACATAAAATCACATCTCAACTCGAATTACAAATTCGAATCAGCGAAGTGAACGGGAATTGGCTGTTCAGAATTCAAACAAATGTTTTGTTGATGGGAACACATATCTGATTTATACCTCAGCCAAAGATTTTCTCTCTTGTGATCTGGCCAAAAGTGGGGCCAAATCCACAAGCATGCTTAGACGTAAGTGAGAAGGTTAACAAAAAATTTAAACACCATAATTGATGTTCATTGAGTATATATAATAATAAAAAGGGCTATTGTATAAGAAAATAATTAGAAATTAAAATTAAATACTGACAAGAAGACGTGGAATATTAGCGCCTTGGACGATAGCAACAACTCTATTATCATCTATCACGTTGCATAATTCCAAGTTTAACTCTAATTTTCTTCAGTTTAATTTTTAGTAATTTATGATTTCTTGATGTAAAATCCCTTCTATTATTACTCGTAAAGTTTGAAAATATGATAAAGGAATAGAATAGATTTTTTTGTTTGTTTGTCATATTTTGCAAGTTGGCGGGAAAAAAAAGTAATTTACCATTGACCACCTTTTTTTTCATGTTAACTAAATAAACGCACTTGCTTTGCTGCTAAAGATACGAGTATTGTAATATAATAGTACTCAAGCCACTAACAAAGAAAAACAAGCACTACATATAGAGCAAGAACCACCAATACGTTGGTAAAGTGGTAAGGATGTGATCTTTATTTTTTCTCCAAAAATACGTCCAGAGTTTAACACTCCACATCCCACTTTAGGACTCCGTCTGATCAATATATTGTGTGGTGTTGGTTGCAGTGATATGAGTGAAATTTGATTCTTTTTTTTTAGTAGAATTGAATCGTGTCATTTTTATCTCATTAGTGGGCTCAAAATTTCCAAATGTGATGAAAGGGTTGGACGCATTATGACATCAATGATCCTCTTTTTTTTAGCTAAAAAAAAACTTTAGCAAGAAAAGCGACAACGTTATTTTGTCTTATACATTCGAAGAACAAGTTTTATTAGCTGTTTGGTTAAAATTTAGCAGCCTAACCAATAAGTGTTCATGATAAAAGTAATATGGAGATTCTCTGATACGCATGACGTACCAATAGGTTAGAATTTTCTAATCATTACATTGCGTACTTTTTAATTTTTACGTAATTATATACATATTCGATGAACATAATACTTGACCTACCAGAGAAGGTCCCAAAGTAATATTTTACATGTGGTAAAAGTGTTCTCATTTATAGATCATACCATTAAAATTTGATCAAACACGTTAAAAAAATGTGTTCTCTCAATGGGACACCGTAAAATTCTACTTCTACTACACATTATACCTTAATTTGTAAAATCTTTTATTTTTTTTCATGTGAGATTTTCTGGTACGCTTGGTGTATCAATAAACTAAGTTTTTATAACGTTAAATCTGCATATTTTTTGACTTTTACATGACATATCTAACGGATAGAAAATCTAATCTACCAATATGTTAGCATACCGGAGAAGATTCCATAATATATCTACATGAACTTACGCCTGACTTAATTTCTTGCACGCATGCGTCTTCGCAGATGAGAACAGGAAAGATGAAAGAAGTTTACAGTACTTATATATACAGCACTATTAAGTAAAAATTTTGTTTACGTTTTATGCTTGGACTAGTCAAAAGTCAATGCCAGTAACATGTCGAGTGTCGTGTGCCTGCGTGTGCGTGCTCGTCTTGATCATATTTTTTTATTGTTAGTTTGATTAATATAAAACTGATCGCAGATTTTTAGCTATATTAGCTAGGTT